CTTTGGACATTTGGACATATTCAGAAGCTTTGTCTTCTACATCTGAGATCCTTTCTTCTGCCTCTTGCACTCTGTTACCAAGAGATTGTACTGTATTTTTCAAATCTTTGAAGGCTGCAATCTCATCTCTTAATGTTTCAAAATCTTTGGTGGTTTTGTCTTTGAATTCATTGAATTCTTGAGTGAACTTTTGGAACGCTCCTTGAATTCCTACTTCTATCTTTGCCTCTATTCTGTTTATCTTATTTGCAATCCAAATTCTGAATTCAATTTCTGACATCTCAGCCATTGTTTATAAAGGGGATCTTCAGTTTCATCTGCCACCTCCTTTCTTGGGGGAGTTGACCTACTCTGGTTATTCATATTACCACCCACATCCTTTCTTGGGGGGGTTGATCTACTCTGGTTATTCATATTACCAGAGCTTTTCCACTGATTCCACCCCATGATTGTTTTACCCTGTTTGACTTTTCCCCTTGAAGTTTGTCACGGACCTGTATGGTGTTTCAGCCTGAGAGACTGGGGACCTGCTTGGTGTGGTGAGGCTAAGTGGCTCTGTCTTATTTTCAGCTCGTCTCTGTCCTACCCTGGTGATTCAGTTACTCTTGGTTGAAGTCTCTGCTGTGGAGAAATACCAGCAATTAGGTCGCCATGTCCCCCACAAACAACAATTGGGCAAGGAAAATCAAACCTTCCCTCAACTGTACACCCAGGGTGCCCCCTTTGAATAGTCCCTGGGTGGTCTGCCAGGTTTAAGGGGTCCAAATCAGTTGTCCCAGTCAGCACCCGTTTCAGGTGGAAAAGTTCAAATGTTTCTGGCAGCTAGATAAGAGGGGTCTGCTTATAGCTCGGATATAACTTGCTCCGGTGCTCCGTGATGGCAAAGGGACTCACGCAGCAGATGGGTTAGTCTGGGAAGGTTAATACCTCATTCCCCACCTTGCACCCAGCCACTCATAATCCCCCAGGTCTGTGACCCTATTCACTCCAGTAGGCAACTGCTCCCAGGGTTTACGACTGGCAAAATCAGCCAGAAATCTAAATTCAGCAGGGGAGGCCTTGCGTGTTTGAATTAGGCTTCTGTCCGGCTAGATTCTTCTGCAAGTCAGAGGCTGCATTCAGCTCTGGGCAGCAGACAAATAGCAGTTTACACTCAGGTATCAATTCCAGCCTCTGCCTGCCCACTGCCTTTGTCTCAGCTATATTACCCTGAGGTCTGGTGCTAATGGGCTCTTTACTTACAAAAGTTATCAGAGTTCTACCTATGGCTGCTGACTGGAACCTCTGGTTTCCCAGAGAGACAGGGCTGGAATGGTGTCAGTTCACAACTCAGGATGCCACTGTTGGTATATTGGCTTCCTCCGAGCCAACTTTCTTCTCCTCACTCCTGTGCCATAGTAGGCACAGAGCAGCACCAGCCCTTTCCCCCTCCACTTCTCTCAAGGAGATGCCCAAGAATCTGGACTCCGTAGGTAACAAACCTCCAGACCTCAGAGTGGGTGGGTGAGGACTCCTCAGAGTTCAATGTTGCAGGTGGGGAATATATACTGTTTTATACAGTTTTACAGTTTTATGCCTGGCCGGAGGGTGCCGTGGCATGCCAGCAGGGGTAGGAGGTCCAGTTTTTAGAGGGTCTCTCCCATGGGATAGAGTGGGAGGAAGTTTGAACTCTGCTCGCTTGTTTGCATGGAGTAAACTGCGAGCCCTTGTTGTGGGGGAGGGGACTCCCATCCACTTAGTGGTGGATTTTGTACCTTTTGCTTGTATTTTTGGGGTTACAGCTCACCTCAGGAAGGTTGAAGTGGGCTCTTCAATCTTCTCTCTCAGCTCTGCTCCAAACCATCAGCTCCCTTGCTAAACTTCTGTCCTTTAAGCCTCCTTCTGGACGGGAGCTTCTGTAAAAAGCTGGCTGCAGTCCGCCATCTTGTCTCTGCCCCCTGGGACTTTTTTTTTAAGTATGAATAAGAATGATGACCATTAATCCCACCACACAAAAGTAAATACCCACTGGTAAGATATTAAGATATTAGCACATTTACATCCAAATTTTCAATATGAGTGTGTGTGTGTGTGTGTGTATATATATATATTTATATTTTGCAGTTTTTGGCCAGGGCCAGGTTTGAACCCACCATGTCTGGTATATGGGGCTGGCATCCTACACATTTGAGCCACAGGTACTGCCCTAATATATGTATATTTTATATGAATATGTATGTATATGCATATACAGAGGGTACCAAAAAATGTATACACATCTTAAGAAAGGAAAACAATGTATTAAATTTGTAATACTCAATATATATTGATAACAAAAGATGACTGCAAGTCAGGTTGAGCACCTCTTGTCATTGCAGAAGTTATATGCAACTTGAGTATTACAAATTTAATAGTTTATTCCTTTCTTAAAATAAGTATACATTTTGGGGGCACGTCTGTGTATTTTTTGAATTGGGTTGTTCAAGTTTGTGTACTATTTTTTTCACTTGCCCTTATATATTTTAGCCCTTTTCAAGATCATTATGTAGTCTTCAGAGATATAGTTTTTAATGGCAAATTATTAATCCTTCATGTGGATGTACAGTATTTTACCTAATTCATCCTAAATGTTGGACAGTTAGGATATTCCTAATTTGACTATTATGAACAATCCTGTAGTAGATGATACTTGGTATACATAAATCAACATGCACATTTCTAATTGCTTTCTTAGGATAGAATCCTTGGAGTGGGAAGACTGAACCATAGGTTAAGAATGTTTCTGAAAACAAATGTAATTCACATCCTATGAAATTCACTACTTCACGTGTGTAATTCAATGGTTTTTAATGTATTTGTAAGGTGGTGAAACCATTACCACTAATTCCAGAACAAAATATGGAGCACTTCACAAATTTGCATGTCATCCTTGTGTAGGGACCACGCTAATAATCTCTGTATCATTGTAATTTTAGTATGACATCCAAAACAAGCACAGTAGAAACATTATAAGTATCCTGATAACATATGCCAAAATTCCCTCTAGCTAGTGTGTACCTATTTCCATTCCCTCCCAGAAATGCATAAGGATGACTTTTTTCCCACAAGTTCACCAACACATCTAAAAAGTTATTGCCAATATCATTGAAAATGGCATTTTATCATTCTGTTTCTTTCACCATATCTTCTTCCTCTCTTGCCTGAACTATAGATGTTTCTTAGAGATCTGTCATCCTCCATCTCCTTTGCACACAGTCACTATGGGCAGTCACATTCACTGCAACAGCATCAGCTGCTTCCTTTCTGTGGATAGTGACAACTATCCTAATCTTTTTCTAGCACTGTAGCCCAAATGTCAAGATACTCACTGGGCACGTTCACCTACAGAATTTGCCAACATAACAAACTCATGTCAGAAATCAAACTCATGTCTCCTGAAACCAGCTCCTGCCCACAACTTCCCTACCTAGATTAGTGATACCACCCTTCACAGCCATCTCCTCTCTTTCCTCCTTATCTAGTTAGTAATACAACCCTGTTGGTTCTCTCTGAACCTTTCTGCCCCATCCCCACTGCTATTACTCTAGTTTTATATTTTATTGCATCTGCAACACTGGCCTCCTCACTTCTCCAAGCTTTCAGTATTTATCCACATAATTTGCCCTACACATGGGCTATGAGAAAAATCCTCCTAAACTACCACTTGTACCATGTTGCTGTCCTAGTTTGCTACCTCCAAGGCCTGTCTCTTGCCTGATATATTGTAAAGAGTAAGTGTTTTAACCTGACACTGAAGGCCTACCGTGCTCTTGCATAATTCTTATTTGACTTCCTCTGCACTTTATAGAAACTGTTTTCATTCTTTGGTGTATCCACACCCTTCCCACTTCTGGTAATGAAAACTTGGAATGGCCTCTCTCCTAGTCTTCTCCAGTTGCAATTGTACTTATGCTTCCAAAATTAGCTTAGAGGCTCTATAAAGCCTCCCTTGATACAATCAACTGTGGCCTTTCTTTTAGCTCTCATTTTGTTAGCACTTTCTTTCTTCTGCTTATGCCACTCTGTCATCTTTAGTTAATTTTGTTCCACCATCTATCACACTGTAAATTCCTTGAGCACAAGGATTATATCATTCTTTACCATGGTGTGTTCCCCAGTATACCTCTTCTTTCTTCTGCTTATGCCACTCTGTCATCTTTAGTTAATTTTGTTCCACCATCTATCACACTGTAAATTCCTTGAGCACAAGGATTATATCATTCTTTACCATGGTGTGTTCCCCAGTATACCTCTCCAAGCATCTTAAATATAGATAAGTGCTCCATAAATACTTGGATTAAACAATGGTAAAGACTGCCAATTGTTTTTTTAGAGCTATTGAATGACTCAGTTTCGGGAATGTATCCTGTGCTAAGAAGGCACAGATGCCAGATGACCCAAGTTTCCTGGCTTATTCCTTTTCCTTCACTCTCTACATTCACTCCATCAACAAGTACTGTCAGCTCTATCTCTTCAAAATATCTGTAACAAAACCTCTTTTCCCTATCCCTACTGTTACCTTCCTAGAACAAAACATCACTACCTCTTACCTCGAAGAGCTTTTTAAACTGGTTCTCTGGTTCTACTCTTGCCCTCCTCCCCAAATCCATCAGCTAAGTGAGACCTTTATAAAGCTTAGATCATGTTAGTCCCCTGTTGTACAACCTCTAACAGCTTCCTATTTAACTGAGAATAAAATCCAAAGCTTACCTTAGCTTTTGAAAACTCCATGATCTGGCCTATGTATCTCTCCAACCTCATCTCCTGCTACTGTACACTTTCCTTATGGCACTCTAGCTCTGCTGAATATTGGCCCTTCCTCGTCATGTGTGTTCAAAGCAGAGTGCCTGGGTGCTATTTTTCCTAATGTGGTCCCAGCTGTTGTTGGCTATTGTCTTAGGGCTCCATGTCTTTAGTAGTGCAAATGACTTGAATGGTTAGAAGTAGTTCTAAAAGCTTTGAGATTTGACTCTTGGAAAAACCTTTGCGGATCCCATTAGACCCCTGAAAAGTAGTATGTCCAACAGTGAGTTTGAGCTGAAGGAGATAATGAGGTTAAAGGAGGAAGAAAAGAAGCATTATATTATTCTTGAGGCTTCCTTCCCAAGGAATGCTATAAATATTACTGATAGAAACCAGAGCTGGAGGACAAACATCCTCCACCTGCTTTATCACTTTGGGTGTTGGTTCAGGAAATTGGGCATCATGACAAAAACTTTAAGGTCATCTATTGAGTCATATGGTGCTCTGTGAACTTGCTACCATTTTCCCTGTATGCTCCTGTGATGTCTCCCTCAGCTCTCTGATGTTTCACACTTAGCTTTGTATGGAGAGGGTAAAGGAGAAAGTGCCCTTATTCAGAAATTCATTTCATTTCAGGTTCTTGCTCCCATTGCTTTTAGAAGCTGAAAAATATGCACTATCTACCTCTTTGCCTTTAGGATCATTGGCAAGAAATAGTCTATGGTAGATATGTTTTATCAAACTATACACAGAAAACCTAGAAATTGCTCTGAAAGAAAATTCTGAGTATTGCATTTCTGAACTACTAAACATTTCTCTAGCCCTTGATATTTGCAAAGTTCTCCTGAGTCATCAGTATGGTTACTTCCTTCCATGGTCCTTTGGTAAAAGAGTTACTATTGTGTTTTAAAAATTCCAGTGTAAAAATGCAGAAATGGAAGCAGAAGGTAAAATGTAATGGCCCTAGGTAGGTGAAGTTATTGGGGACATACAGAAAGCCAAAGAGCACCCCAACACACCACAACATGTGGAGGAGTTTTTTTTCTTATTTCCATCCCAACATTCCCTTCCTTTCTCATTCCCTACCCTGGGTTTCTTTTTAGCCAGGGATGGATCCTGAGGTAGGGAGTGGAGAAGAGGATCTAGCAGATTTACATGGAAGAACTTGACCTGGCTATTCAGAGAGGATGAGAGGTAGAGAGGCAGAAATGAGTATCAGAAGCACCTTCTCCAGAAAGCACACAATCTCTCAGACAACCCAGATTATAACTTTCCATACTGGCAATAAAGCCAGTGCCCTGAAAGTTCTCTTTAAAATTACACACGTGAGCACACACACACACAGAGACACATTTCCCCTTTGGTTGGGTCTATAATAAGGAAGAGTTTCCTGATCAACAGTAGGATGGGGGTGGCCATTCACAGCTCTGTGTTCCTCCATGGTGATCAAGCAGTGGAGGAACTTTTCCCCTCCTCTGTCAGATAAACAAGTCATGCATTGTTCTGTCCCCTGGCCTGTCTGCAAGCTTCCCTTCCTGCTGAGCCAGCTAGAATGAGCCTGGGCTCCTTCATGTGAGGCAGGTGGAATGTGCTGTTCGCAGGGAGGTTGGAAGAGCCACGGAAACTAAACAGAGCTAATCAAAGAGCACTAAAGAGTGCTTCTCCTTATCCAAACACTTTCAAAAGTGGAAAGGACCCACACTACCTGATGTCCCAGACCTCAGGCTGAGCAACAGGGGTCACATTTTCCTTATTGCGCTGTGTTGGAGAAGAGCTGTGGTTCTTTTTCTGCTAGCCCTTTCCCACCAAATTCTCTTGAGGGGCCTGGTGAGAGCCAGGCTCAGAGACAGGTAGTGTGCCCTGGAGTGACAGCTGACTAGAACAGCTGAAGACTGACTCCTTCCTGAAATGATCTACCTCTCACAAAGTCTTTACAAAGGCTTTTCTAGGAATCAGCTTCTGGCTTATTTGCCACTTCTCCCTGCATGTGCTCACCTTTTTGGCCTCCCATGCCAAGTTCTTGTCCTCCAAGTGCTTGGAAGAGAAGCAGTCATCTTTACTGTTCCCTGAGCATAGGAAGTCATAGTTGGTCATGTTACCTGAAACTCTGCTGTGCTAAGTGGGAGAGGGCCCCTTACCCTTACCCCTTAACCCATCTCCCAGCCTCTGCCCCAAACCCCAAACTTGCCAAACTGTTCAAGTTCCTCTCTTGTCTTCCCGTACCCAAGGCTTTCTCAAGAGTATGCCGTTTGTGCCCACCTGCCCACCCCCTCATCTGGTGACGACCCAACTCTCATACTCCTATTCTGCCTCCCTACCTCGGCCAGCCCCACAAACACTGCATGCACCTCTAGTCACCATTTCCTCAGCTCTAACTTACCATTGCAAAGGTCAGACTGCTAACAAACCAGCTGCTCTTTATTTTGTTGGTGAGTTTCTTTTTCATCTTTATTTGAACTAAAGAAATAAGTTGTTTTGCTACTAACAGTACCTTACCCATTATTATTTTGAGGAGAGGACAAAACAGATACAATTTATTTAGCACCTGTCACATGCCAGGCATGTTTTCTAGTGAAGGAAATAAAGTTTGGTGACATGTCTAAGGCCAAACAACCAGTGAATGGTAAAGCTGAGACTCCAAGCCAGATCTATATGCCTCCCAAAGCTGCTAAAACTTCCCCCATCCAGTACTACCATACATGATTGATAAAAAGTCAGTCCAGATTTCCCTGTGAGGTACAGAAGGAAGAAAGGGGAAGGGACCTTAAGACATGATTCCCCAGAGAAGAAAGACCTACCATACTTCTTGTCCTGAGGGAGCTTGCATAAGCCCTCTCAAGGGCCAGAAATTACTGGAATTGGGGCCGGAGGCCAAGGAAAACTGAGTGGGTGACAGGGATACTAGTGAAGGGAAAACCCTACCTTTCTATCTCCAAGAGAGATTAAAATCTGATGCCTGAACCTGGGCGTAGGAGGTACAACAAATCTGTGGAGGGCTGCTCTGGGTTCTGGTTATTGCAATGGTCAATGAGGGCATCATTTGGAGCCCCATGTGTGTCCTAGGACTACTACATTATAGCTTGCTATACCTAGAAGGGTTATTTGTGACAAATGAGTTCAGTGTTTTGATTTGCAGAAAGAGGAAACAGAATCCTAGCAAGAGAGAGTAAGTTACCCGAGGTCAGAGTGAATTCATAGCAGATGCAGGGATGCTA